ACGACGGTTTGAACAGATCCCAGCGATGACAACTGATGTTGAAACCGAGTGGCAGCTGTTTAAGAGAGGCATACTGGAGGCTGTCGCCGAATGCTGCGGATATAAACGGGTTGGCCTGCCGCCTGGGGGTCAGCAAAAATCTTCATGGTGGACACGAGAGGTACAACTGGCAATTAAGGAAAAGACATGTGCTAAGGCGTCAAATGGCAGCGAAAGCAGTGGCAAAAGCCAAAGCTGACTCCTACGAGGTGTTGGAGTCGAATTTCCACAAGGCAAACATCGCATTCTGGCAGACCTACCGTCGGCTCCGAGGACAGAGAAAGGGCGGTGTAAAAGTCTTGAAGGACAGGTCTGGGAACCCTCTAACAGAGCATCCGAACAATCTTCGGCGATAGAGAGAGTACTTTGAGGCATCTCTTAACCTGCAGAGCAGCAGGGAACCGATATTACTATTTTTGTAGCTGAAATCACACAAGCTGTAAAAAAGCAGCTGAAATTGATGAATTCTGCCCTGATATGCTCAATGCAAAGGGCAAACAAAGCATGTGCTGGATCATATCTGTCAAACTGCAATGGCTAAGAGGAAGACACCAGCAGATTGGAAAACAGGTTGCTGTGCCCCTGCTCAAGAAGGGAGACCATACGGAATGCTCCGATTATAGGGGCACTACGTTATTCTGCCTGATGTTACGAAGGAAGTGCTGTGAAATAACTGACTTCAAGATACAAGAGCAGTATCGCTTCCGGCCCGGTCGAAGCACATCTTACCATATGCTTCCTCTACGCCAGATTGTTGAGAAATCTTTGGAGTTCGCCTATCCGGTGTACATGTGCGTTGTTGACCTAGAAACAGCTTATGACTGGATACCACGTAACAGTCTGTGGTCATGGGGCGGAACAAATAGAATCGATGGCCAGTTGCTACGAGCCATCCAATCACTATAGGCAGATAACAAGTGCTGCATCTGAATAAAAGGCGTTAAGTCTAAACCTTTCAGCGATGGCACTGGTTGGAACGTTTTGTCCTCTCTCCTGGTCTACAGCGCTCTCTGGAAAGCTTCGCAGTCGGTGCAACTTGACCGGTATGCGTGTGAACGCACCTAAAACGAGCCGCCTAGTGCTTTCTTGTTCTCTTCAGGTTAACGTTTATACAGAGGAGCAGGTGGAAAAGTTCAAGTACATCAGAGTCATGTTTACTGGTGATAGAAAGTTGGAGGAAGAGATCCACCGGCGAATTGGAGCAGCCAGTGGCGTTCTGGATGAACTAGCCCGATCCACTGTGACTAAAGCAGAGCTCAGTCTGAAAACTAAGTTCTCGGTGTTCAAGTCGATCTTTACCCCCATGCTTACCTGCGGGCATGAATCGTGGACCATCACTGAAAAACTTCGAACCCGGGTACAAGCTCCTGAAATGGGCTTTCTTAGAGGAGTCGCTGGCCTTACGCGTCTCGACATTGTCGGGAATACTGGCATCCGAAAGAGCCCTGGTATAGAGCCTCTGCTTCCCCATAGTGGGAAGTCACAGGTGCGATGGTTTGCCATGTGCTGCGAATGTCTCCAGAAAGGAAAGCTAAGCAAATGTTTTTGCCCAGCCGACCGGCAGAAGGTCGAGCGGAGGCAAAGAATAGTATTGTGCATATATATTGAAGGAGTTTATCCTAGACTTCAGTTGTCTTCTGCCAAGGCTCAAGCTCTGGCACTGGATCGGGAACACTGGAAGCACTGTCTGAAGCGTATGCCTCTGCGACTCGAAGAGAGAAGTGGTCATGGAAGATTAAGAAGAAAACATGTGGTATACTGTGTCATGAAGAAAAATAAAGAATAAAGCTTAAAATTTAGTCATGTATCAATTTATAGCGTTAAATATCTCTATCTGCATATCGACTTCAGTCGTCAAATGCACGTGAATCGACTTTGAATAAAATAATTGCAATTTATTTTTCTTGCAATGTAAGTGGTCATCTCATAGGTATTCGCCAGTGCATAAAGGAAAACTATGGCCTGAAAATAAGAATAAATGCAAGCCAATTAGCTTTAAAGAGAGACACTCCTTTGCACTGCTCTGGCAGCAACCTAAGTGCTGAACTGAACAGAAGTGATAGAAGATGTCAGGCAACGAACGATGCTAGTGAGGCAAATTTCTAATTCCGGACAAGAGTATTGGTTTATAAACTAGTCTCTAAGTTTCCTTATTTCAATCAGGCAAACCTATGCGAAAAGAAACTATATAAATTTACAAAGACGGTGTGGAACTGAACAACTATTTATAATTTATAATTCAATACTGATTAATCTGGTGCAAACATATGGAAGGAATCTGTTCCAGACTGCATTTGTCTTTTGCCGAAGCTCAGAC